CTATACACACACCTCATCACTCTTCATATTAAGTTTTAGAAAAACACAAACTCTTTTACACCCTATTACTAGATTACTCATCTTTCAATCTAAAAAACCTAGTACACTCTCATCTTCTATTCACAAAATCCTCCTAGTTCATTCTCAATGCTGCTACAAATTTGATAACCGTGTTTTTATCTCTTTAAGTAATATGAGGTTGAGGAAAACTTAGAGTAATGAGGAGCAAGATAGCGGGATGTGGGGTGTGAGATTGATGAGTTTTTTTTTCTTTTTCTGTTAGGTGTGTATTTAGGGGTAATTTGAGAAGACAGTGGGGTTTTCTTAGAAATTGTGAAAATTTGAATTAGAAATTAGGATGAACTTAGAATATTGGATAACAAAAAGAAGTATAAGGTTTAAATAGAAAAACTCTATAATGAATTAAAAAAAACTAATTTTAACCTTAATTTATGTGATTTCCACATTTAGGCTACTATTAATTAAAATATCATAGTCAAATGTTCAACATGGTAGTTGGTGGGCCCCAGAAATATGGCCCACTGCCACAGGGCGACCAGTATATATTATATAGTAAAATCATGGAAAATAAAATAGCTTAACCATCATGAATTTCTCTGGAGTTTCGTTGGGCTTGACTTGAGACTCTTCTCAAGCATGGACTCTGCCTGTGGTGTCCTTTTGTACCCTGTTTCCCTCCCTATTATTATCTCTCTTTGAAACTCACACAATATTAACTGCCATTTATAGTTTCTCTCTGCGAAACATCTCTTGATTGTCAGAACGAAATTTCTCTACAAGCTCTTCATCTTGTTGTTGCTCTAATTTCTTCAGGTTCTCTCTGGTTTTGGGTTTCTGTTTGAGGCCTGAGAAAAGATGGGATAAGAAAAGAAAAAGTCAAGAATCTGATAAATGAAAGAAACTTCATCCAGTTGGGTTTGATTTGATGCAGCAGTCTTGCTTTTTTTGACATGGGTTTTCAGCTTTTCATGCTGTAGGAATATAAGGTACAACATAAAGCACATAACTGTTGAGTTTTTGTTTATCTCAGCAACCAAAAAGAAAGTTAACTTGTGTAAGGGGTGATTGCTTCTATTTTCATGTTTGACGCTATTTAGAATGATTTATGACTTATTTTCAATTGCTATGTTCATCATTGTCTTTCTCCTATTTTGGTAATTTTCTATCTTTGGTTCAGTCTTTTCAGTCAATGCGTTTACAATGATATTTTACAGTAATACTATCCCTAGAAGAATATGATCACTGCATAATTATTTTGTTTCAAGTATCGAAACATTGACTGGCTTTTCATATTGAAACTTTCATTGAGAGCTGTTGTTTTAATCACTAATGCTCTTCTGATTAAGTCTATCATTGTGTGCCTCTTCTAGTTTCTAGTGAAGAAAATTTCAATATAAGAGTTGGGTTCTTGCAGGGCCTGGATATCAGCTCTTTCAAGCAGTAAAAGAACCAAATCCGGATACCAAAATATGAATTCCGTGGGGCATAAGTTTGTAAGGTTAGTTTGTTCAAGTCTTGAGTACCAATAAAGTCCAATGTTGTTGGTGTTACTTTTTGTATCTAATCTTATTTTATACAATTGTTTGTGCCCCTCTGTGATGTTACAAATTCATGTGACTTTGTGTTACGTTTGTTGTTTTATCCAGGTTTGAAGATTGGCATTCGGATCGATCTGTAAGCTCTAAGCACGAAGCTTCCACCGGTCATGGACTGAATCCAAGAAGAGCTAGACCATCTGTGAATGCAGTTTTTAGGGGTCTCCGGAGAGGATTAGAGAGAGGTTCTGATCGGATTAGAAGCTTGAAAAAACCACTAAGTTCCACTTCTGTAGGTAACTGGTCAGCAAGGGAGTCAGGCTCTAGGAGGAAAATTCTTGACCCTCAGGGGTCATTTCTTCAGAACTGGAACAAGATATTTGTGATCACTTGTGTTATTGCTGTGTCCGTGGACCCGTTGTTTCTTTATACTGCAGTGGTCGATGGGGAAAATAAGTGCGTGGGTGTGGACAAAAGGTTGCTGATCATTACTTGTGTTCTTCGTTCCTTCATCGATGTCTTTCACATACTTCATATCATCTTTCAGTTTCGCACTGGTTTTATTGCCCCCTCTTCTCGAGTATTCGGAAGGGGTGAGCTTATTGACGATCCTGTGGCCATTGCAAAAAGATACTTGTCCTCATACTTCATCATTGACGTTCTAGCTATTCTTCCTCTGCCACAGGTAGCTGCCCTTCCCTTTATTTCATAAGAAAGATTTAGGTTGATGACATTATGGAAGGTTCAGATTATGTTCCCCTAACCTTTTATTGCAAACCATTCTTTTAACTTTTCTTTTGCTTGTCAGACTCCCCCTTTTTTTATTTGCTCGAGTTATATTGATAAAAATATTCTCAGAAAACGTTCTTTCAATCAAATACGCTATTATGGCATTCATGTTTTATGCTAATACAAAATAAGAATAGGCTTTCTTCCCAACCTGTCTCCTTGTATCCTTAGTAGAACTCAGAATATGCTTTCTAATGTCATGCATTCCACTTCAATACCTTTCCTTCGGTTCTTTTACACCCAAACAACTAAAGAAAAAACACCACCTTGAGTGGAACAAACTAGAAGTTGGGGTCCTAATCTTATGTCCTCGAAACAATGTGTGTAATTGTGTGTATAGCCAGGAGGTTGAATTTGCAGGCCTTTTACAGAATGTCCAATCATTATCAATTGCAGAAAACTGAATTCTTTGTTAAATATCTGAAAGGTTTTTAAAGTTTTTACATGGTTTTATTATTAGAACAGAGTGACTTTATTAACCATATCTCTGGTTGTAGCTTATGTCCATAATTCACAATACCGACGATTTTGTTCTGCTTAATTTGTTCAGATGGTGGTGGTTTTTTTTATAATCCCAATATCACGTCCAGTTACCCAAGTCACAAAGGACTTGTTGCTGATTGTAATTGTTGCCCAATATGGGCCAAGGCTTTGGCGGATCTATCCATTATACGAAGAAGTAACAAGAACTTCAGGCTTCCTGACTGAAACAGCATGGGCTGGAGCTGCTTACAATCTTTTGCTCTACATGCTAGCCAGTCACGTAAGTCTTTGATTTGATAGTTTTTGAATCCTCAACAATCTCCAAGAAATTATGTGGGATTTCTGATCTGATAAGGAATGTGTCATACCAGGTAGTTGGAGCCTTTTGGTACTTGTTCTCCGCGGAACGAGAGTATAGTTGCTGGCGTATTCAGTGTCACGGGGATCATCGTTGTAAGAAATTCCTGTACTGTGATCCTAAGTATAAAGCTAACTCTAGCTTTATTGAGAAGTTAAATGCTTCTTGCCCTTTTATTGACCCTGACGAAATAAAAAATTCAACGGTGTTCAACTTTGGAATATTTACTGATGCTCTGCAGTCTGGTGTGCTAGAGACCAATGATTTTCCAAAGAAATTTTTATACTGCTTCTGGTGGGGTCTGCGCAACCTTAGGTTTGTAATCATAAACTTTTTAAATTTATTCTTAATAAGTTAGCATGCTGAGTTTAGCAGTTAAAATTTTCTTAAGGTTTCATGTACATACATGTTGCCGTTTTTAACTTGTACCGGTTTTGCAGTTCTCTTGGTCAAAACCTCAAAACAAGCACTTTTGTTTGGGAGATAATCTTTGCCGTGTTCATATCTATCTTTGGATTGGTGCTATTTTCATTGCTCATTGGCAATATGCAGGTAATATTTGATGCCGTCATTTTCTTGACAACCAATATATGTTGTAAGCATTATGGGATGACACTAAAGATGTACGCAGCTTTGTTCTTATGCATAGCATCCTGGCCAAAAATTAGACTACGGATTGAGCACATGAAATTAACACATCGATATCTGTCTTAAATCAAATCTCTTAGTGCTAGCAGTGTTCTTAGTTGATGTACTTTCTTCTTGGATTGAATGAGCTAAAGCCTAACATTCTAACCTTGTTTCTTGTTATGTTATAGAAATTTCTGCAGTCCACAACTGTGAGAGTTGAAGAAATGAGAGTGAAAAGGCGAGATGCAGAACAGTGGATGTCACACCGAATGCTCCCCGAGAAATTGAGGGAAAGGATTAGACGCTATGATCAGTATAAATGGCAAGAAACAAGAGGTGTTGAGGAAGAGACTCTTGTCCGTAACCTTCCCAAAGACCTGCGGAAGGACATAAAGCGCCATCTTTGCTTGGCTCTTCTCAATAGAGTGAGTGCTTTCACTAATAATTTATGCATCCTTTTCTCTCCAACTATTAGCAGTTGTGTTCATCAGCACACTTTATTAACTCAGGTGCCAATGTTTGAGAAAATGGATGAACAATTGATGGACGCCCTGTGTGATCGTCTCAAGCCAGTTCTTTACACAGACAAGAGCGTTATCACTCGAGAAGGCGATCCAGTTGATGAGATGCTATTCATCATGCGTGGATATTTAGCAACCATGACTACCAATGGTGGAAGAACTGGCTTCTTCAACACTGCTGATCTTAAGGCTGGTGACTTTTGTGGAGAAGAGCTTCTTACATGGGCCTTGGATCCAAACTCCTCCACCAATCTTCCCATCTCAACTAGGACAGTGGAAGCTAAAACAGAAGTTGAAGCCTTTGCTCTCATGGCTGATGATTTGAAGTTTGTTGCCTCCCAGTTTCGGCGCCTACACAGCAAGCAGCTCCAGCACGCTTTCAGGCAAGGCTCAAATAACCATGCTTTTTCCTTTTTCATCATGGACAACTAATATGAACCCAAAAAAAGGAGAAAAGTTACCGAAAGATTCATATTTCCACCTTCATTTGATTTTTAAGCAAAATACCTCATAACATTGCTTTCTCTTCAAATATGCAACAGAACAAGCATGCTATGTCATGCAAAAGCAAAGCATTATATTTGGAATGCGATTACCATTCTTCTTGATTTTTTTGATTTCAGTATGTAGTTTTCTCATGCCATAATGTTTACTTCTCAGGTTTTACTCCCTGCAGTGGAGGACATGGTCAGCCTGTTTCATACAAGCAGCTTGGCGCCGGCACTGCAAGAGAAAGCATGAGACGTCGTTACGTGAAGCAGAAGACAGGCTGCAAGATGCTTTGACAAGAGAAGCTGGAAGCTCACCAAGCCTACTTGCCACTGTATATGCATCAAAGTTTGCAGCCAATGCACTACGAAACTTGCGACAAAAGGGTAAGCACAACACTAGACCTTCACCAACATTGCTGCCACTGCTGCCTCAGAAGCCCGCGAGCCTGATTTTACCGCAGAGCGTCATGACTAGTAGTACATTGTTATGAAGTGATTACCGGCTAAGTTTTGCTTTCCAGATACAAGTTTATCCTTGGAGGTTTCTGTGTATTAAAATATTGGTAACTTGGTGTAACTTCCCTCCCTCTGTATCTAACTTAGCTTTTTTCTCAATTTCTCCTTTTTGATCCATTGAGAGTTCATTTGTTTTATGAGCCAACCTTCATGTGTGATATGACATTCATAGCAGATAGTTTTCTATGTATAAAAAATATATTATTTTATAACATGGAATAAAGCGGAAATTTTCTGCCAATCATTCCCTTCAAGTCAAAAACATCTCTTTGCTGCTGAAGTCGGTCATTCAACTCGATAAGATGCAAGCTCAGCTCCCTTAACATCAACCTCTCGGTTGCTAATAAATTTTTTAGCTGTTACTAGTCACAAAAGGTGTATAAAAGAACATCAATATAACTCAAAAGGTATATAAAAGATATGCGCCTTTTAGAGCTCTCCAACTTTTATTTCCAAAAATTGCCCATAAGACTTGTAATCTTGTAAAACTCATGTGTGATTCACTCTGTGTGAGATAGTTGAATCGTTGTACTCTACAGCATCAAGGGAAAGGATGCATAAAATCAAGCTTAAAACAGATCATAATTTACTTCTACCTCAGAGTGTCTTCTCCCAAAAGGGATTCCACTGTTAACTGATTCATAGCCGTCTAGCAAAAAACTTTCCATCATCCGGTGCACCATAAGGATCCTGCCTAATTCACTAATTCGTGGGAAGCTACTGAACTTTTATATTTGAAAAATATTTCAGGAGGGATTTCTGAAGTAGATGGTGGTTGATAGAGTAATTCTTGATCATAATTTCCAGTATGAGTACTGCATCCAACACGAAACTTACTTAGTTGGAGCAGTACTTTCACATCTTCTTTTGTTTATTTCTTTCCTTGATTTGATTTTCCAGACTTTTAAGTCTCTGCTTGAGAATTGAAGTCCGTGATATTCTTCTGTCAGCAACCTTTGATGGCTTGGTGGGTAACGGAGATCCTGATTCAACGGTAGTGTCCTGTTCAATTGCTGAAGACAAAAAAGATTGAGGTTGTGATGGAGCAGGAGGTGGCACAGGAATTTCAGGAAGACCAAGGAAACTCTTCACCTCTGGGAGCCTAATTACTGCAGGAATACAATACAGTCTGTCAGCGTAAATACGCGGGAAACAAGATATGCTCAAACAAGCTCCAGAGCACCAAATTTTGTTAAAATGGAAATGGTTCATCTAATGGGTTAGGTTACAATCTTTCTAACATATTCCAAGCAAGGTGATTTAGTGCTGACAATGTGGGCTCAGGCCACCCATCCTGTACTTTGCCTGATCCCCATCTACTTCCATTTTGCAAAGGAGATGGCACAGTTTAATAATAAAACACTATGCTGTCAATTAGGGGTCCAATGTATATGGCTTGTGTACTAAATTACCCCATTAGCACTTTCAATTTAACTTTCTTACTTGACAGGAAGAAAAAGAAAACCTAAGGGGTCACTCTAGTGAATGGTAAAAGGCTCAGGCTGTCATCTGCATGTGCACAGGTTTGATTCTTAAGGGCAACATTGTCAACTAGATCCAAGGAAAGCCACCAAAAGTTCTAATGATATACTGAATTGCATTTAAGCATCTGATCAAAGCAAACAAATCCCTCATTTCAATTCAAAGTAGGGTTACAAAACATTACATACAAAAAGAAGTTCATGATTTGCAGGAAGGACTCACCTAATCCATATGTAAGGGAGAACAGGTTGGAGGTGAGCCAATAACAGAACAGTGCCTGCAAAGACATGGGATTCAACAAAGCAATATAAAAGATCCTGGACATACCCTACTCCCATACATTAAATTCAGCAAATTCACAAACCTTGGGGAAACTCATCATTACAGGAACTGAAATGGCCGCAAGGATTCTAGAATAGTTTTTCATAGTTTGGGCAATGGGATTCCCTTCAAGACCCTCCTGCATGTTGCACTAAGGAAACAGCAGAAATCACATAACTGCTCACTCTTTGGAAAGCATCATACCAATAAGACAACAAGGTAAAAAGCATCTGATAGAAATATCCACCCACAATCAATAAAAATAAATAAAAAATAACTCTCTCTTAATTAAAAACCCAAGAGAAATTAAATACCATATATGCAAGCTAAATAAGTAACAAAAATCCTACCTCTACTGTAATCAAGAATGTCAACGATGTCAGAACTGGAAGGATGAGCAAGCTATCTGGAGTAGTGAGATCAGTAAACCAAAGAGCTCCACCACTTTGAAAAGAAGGAACCTTCTCAGCCATGTTTCTAACCTGCATTTACAAGAGTCAGAAAATGAAACACAACTTGAAATTTGGAAAGTCATGAAAATAATCAAATATCAAATGAATAGTTTCAACAAGATACTATAAAACTGAGGGACTCTCATATCTTACAGCTAAGAAAAAACTGATGAAGATGGGACCTTGAATGAATAGCGGTTGCAATTGAGAAAGTGGATTGACTCCATATCTGCAAAAACCGTGCAGTTTCAAAGCGTTAAATGCATGCACATGCACATATAAGATGGCTGCATGAGAAACAATGACAAAGAATAGAAAAAATAAAAGGATACAATGTGTGTGTACTCCTTTAATCTGCACACAGTGAGAATTCAACTACACTAAATGTACAGGCAAAACGGTTGTCGAACCCTCATGTGAGACAGCTACCACAGGAAAATTCAGGAAGTAGACTTTCTGGCTTTAGATTTAGGTCCCTTCTAATTGTCATTATTTTAATTAAATCAAATCGTAGTCCTCTTTTTTCTATCTTACTTTCATTTTGTTGGCAAACCAACCATTACTAAGAAAAAAAAAAAAAAAAAAAAAACATCTAACTTTTTAATTGGTTATCTTCATAGAAACACATTTATGTATCGCAGTGGAAGAAAGAATTGTATGTATCTGACAAGATTACATCTATAAAAGGAAAATAGCTAATCATCAGATGTGATTCCATCAGACTGAAAAATTACTTACTCCTTGAACAATGCCTTCATTCGTTTCTGACCTTCTTGCAAAACATTCGGATCCATTGCCTAACAAATATATTGTATCAAAATGAAGAAAATGAAGCTTTCTGAAAACTTTATGATGCACACCATATCATATGAGGAAATTAAAGTTGATTCTGAGATAGACAATATAAGATGCTGGCCAAAAGAAGCAAAGAGACCATGGTGGATTTTGATGAGTATCTCAGCATACTAGATTATCATGATTCCCCTCCGGCTACTGCCCCACCCCAAACAAAAGAAAAGAAAAAAAAGAAGAAAGAAATTCATACCATATCTTGCATCTGTTGTTTTAACTCCTCTAAATGGGGCCTCATTAACTGTATCGCAATAGAAAAAATTAAAATAAACACAGTCAGATACTAACTGAATGCTCTCTTCTTCTAAACAATGTAAGAAACTGAATAAAAAACATCAAAAATAGTAAAATTACATCAATATTCACAAATGTATTGAAACATACTACCTGCCCCTAACCCCTCTCCCCCCAACCCCCAAATGGCTGGGGGGTGTCATATAAGTGATTCAAAGCATACTTCAACTCATGAAAATATGAATCATGCCACCATCACATTTAAAAGAGTACCGCTTGCACAAACAATCAAGGAATGGTGTTTCTTTCATATAGTCAAAAGGATTAACAAACGATCATAGAATCAGGTTATTAAACAGCTGAAATAGAGTATCCACCCCGAGAGAGAGAGAGAGAGAGAGAGAGAGAGAGAGAGAGAGCGCCCAGGAAACATACAACCTCTGGACAAGGGCTCGTTATCACAGTTATGGTCATTAAAAATATAGTGATTCCAACTGCAAGAAATCTTTCTGGAGTATCTAATACAACCTTTGATGTTCATCAAACTTTAAACTGACACATCTAGGAAATTAATTGATAATTTATAGTTTTCAATAACAGATTCACATGTGCACACACACAAATCCATTGAGCTTAAGGGAATGAAAACTAACATTAAGTTGTGTAGTAGCCCTGAGTTGATTAATGAGAAGTGGAATTGTAGCCCCTCGAATCAGAATAGTTGTTAAAGCTATTGAGGCCCACCTGGAAAAACAATTAATCACTTTCAAGGAGAAACCAAAATAGCTTTAAGATAAAATTTGTAACCATAAGCTCTGTACTTCTACTTAAGCAGCATTACATAATTGCTTCACTATTAACTTTCCTTCAACTTACCAAAAAATATTAAAATCATATAAAAAAGGAAAAATAAACAAAACTGTCAAAAAGTAAGAGAATTCTCTCTAAAATCATTTCATTTACCAATTACATCCAGTAAAAGAATGCACGCCATCGATCAAATACTGCAGGGCAGCAACTGGGAAGAAAGAATCTGCTGCAGCAGCAGCCACTTCACTCACAGCGGGGGTTTGGGAGGTTACCACTTCCACCGTCTTATCCGTAATAACCTCAGCAAAATAGCCAACGTCATTAATCTTATCAGACCCATCATCGATTATGGCTGACATATACCTACAATGAAAGGAGCCAAGCCCCATTTTCCAAGACAATGATGAGCCTGTCCTCTCTCTACATCGAGAACCAAAACAAAATCCAAGTGTCGAGTTGTAAGAGCCACGTGGCAAAGTACTCTTGATCACAGGTGGAGGCAAACTTGAATTCGGTGCATGTGATTTAGTATCCTCATTGTTATCATGAAGAATGTGACTAAATGAAGGGTGGAAACGTCTGGTACCAAAGGTCACTGTGGTGGAGACACTACGTCTACAAGCCATTTCTGCTAGCTAACTTCTGCTAAAAGAAGCAGATATCTAAACATTATAAAGAGATTACATATGCAATATAGAACAAGAAAAAAGCAAGACAACACGATCATAACACTTTCTACTTTGAGGTGTTATATTCATACCCACTTGGCTTACAAGAAATGTAACACAAAGGAGAAAAGAAAGAAATATTGCAACCCCAAATGTCAAGTTGTTTGGACTTGTACTGAGTTGTACTTTCTTCAGTAATATTTATTGGTCTTCACTGCTGAAATCTAGTAGGATCCAAAAGTCATACTCTTTTCCAATTTCTCACTTTTTTTTCTCAATCAACTCAAAGAACCTCTCACAACGCATTTTCATGGATTCCACAGAAAAGTTTGATATGTTAGGATCAAGGACTTTCAGGATTGAACTAAGTTAAAGTTCCATATATATAATTAGCTAAGCACCCAATGAAAAGAACCCAAAACAGAGTGCTCAAAGTTATGAATTAAACTATCAAACATTTGGTTGGGGCTTAACTTTGAAGAACCCAGATGGGCTTTACATGATGAGTTACCCACCAACAAATTATAAAAGTTTACGTCGTTGCACTGTATTTTCTTAAGAGCCAAACAGAAATTAACCAAACAGAAAGAGAACCATTGGAATTAATTACCTTTCTGACTTTTCTTAGTTCTCTTCTCGACGCGAAGAGACAGAAACTTCATTAGCAGCAGAACGCTTCATTTTCATAAATTTCGAACACAGTAGGTATGATAAAAAAAAATTGAAAAACAGAAGAGAGAAACAACGTGATTTATACTGCATGTCGTTAAAATTTAAGCGCTTGTAAACGTTATGTCGTATTTATGCGTAGCAAGTCCCAATGTACGACCAGATGTAGAGGATTGTTTTGAAAGCAAAAATTTTAACAATTTGAAAGGAAAATAAAACAAGGATTATATATAATTCCATAATTACTAGATTGTTCTCAGTGGTATTATATTGTTCACTAATGGCTCTGATAATATAATTATGTGTGTACAATTTATTTTATACTTGTCACATTAATTATAAATAATCTCTTGCTATGGCAATGGCAAACCCAGCTGGAATGAACAAAATCACTCTCCATGATAAAACATTCCAACCCTGCATGGCAAAAAAAGGATGGTCAGCACCTTGAAAAAGAGAAGTGTGTAAAGTAATGCTACATGAACCAAATTTATTTTCTGATCATATTATATGACAGTTGATGTGTTAATTAACTGTTGATCGTGATAATTGATGTAATAAGTGAGCACCAACTACTAAGTCATGAGCTAATGTGGTCAGAAAATTCGGGTGACTTAGCATTTTTGGAGTGTGTATGTATTACTTTGAGCAGTCAGTGTTTTTATCAATTGGAGGGAGATTGAGGGACAGGCCACATTTCTTGGGAAGAAGAGAGACTTGAGAGGGATTATAGTTTCCAACGGAAGACAACATTTGCTTAAGGCACTTGCACACAGCTTCCCTGTCTGGTCTGGAATTAGCATTGACACTCAGCTCCTTAACCCCTTTGCAACACTCCTCAGATGGCTTGGTGTCGCTTCCACCTTTCACAAAACTGAGACACGGGGCCACTTGCTGGGTTACGGTAGGGCATGAAGGCGCCGAATTTGCAGCACTTGAAAGGAACAAGAGGACGGCTAGGAATCCAATGAGGCGAGTCATTGTTGCTCCTAGATTTTAAGATCACTTGGGGGCAAGTGTTTAATTCCCAAGTTTGAGGTCTTTGCAAGACTGCAGGGTATATATATATAAATGCTTGAGTGCAGGTTTTTCAGTTTTCAAGCCTCACAGCTGTAATTATGCTCATGCAAGTTTCATGCCAGTGATCGGTTTCTGTTTCCATGAAGACAGAAATAGGGCTTATCATGTTGGGATTACGTGAACAACTTAATTAGGGCACACTAAGAAGTTCCCTTTGGGTTTAATATTTCTTAGCCAGACACATTGCTCATAAGAACCTGAAATTCAGACAACGCTTAAAACAGCTTGTGTGAGTCATCCTCTTTCATACAATTTTTCTTTTCTTAAGAATCTGATGTTCAACAAGTATACAAGAAAAAGAAAAACAGCAATCTTTAGCTTTAATATTTTGAGTCTTTCAATACGGTACTACTACAATACACTGTAAATAATGCTACTGACTGCACAAGACTAAACTACGTGTTTCTATATACATGTACGCTGCGTATTCAATCTCTGTCATGGATTAGATGAGTTTCGGAACTCAGACTTGGAGTCGGTACCACGTCTTGTGTACAATGAGCCAACGCCTGGAACTTCAGCATGTGAAGACACTGCAGAAAGAGGCTGGAAGTTCGTATTCCCAACAAACCAATACAGAGCCCATTTCAAATTGCAGAGGGTGTACTTTAGAGCTTTAGTCCAATTCTCCTGCTTATTGAAGCTTTGAGTGATAGAATAGCTTTCCACTTTGTCATTCTCAATCCTGCAAAAGAAAAAGTCCAAGACAATTAAAAGGTATCTAGAGAAAGTAAAATTATGCACGACATTTGTTAAGTACATGGTTAACCATGCAGAATAAAGTTTGTCAAACCATGAAGACTTATGTCTATGTTGCATGCTTCTCATGTGTGTTAAAACAATTGAAAGGGTAAACAGGATAAACTACGGTGCTCATTAATGCAAATATTGTATCATCTATGAAAAATGAATACCAAGGAGAGGCAGCAAATGCTTTGAACATGATATAACATACTATTGTTGTAGACTGCAAAAACTTACTTGTATGGCAATTTAAAGCATTTTTCAGGTGGTATGTTGTTTTCTTGATCCTTGGAATTTGCAAACTCAGCAAAGTCTTTAAGGCATGTCAAGAACAATGTCATTGCTTTGTCATACCGAGTGCTCCAAAATAAGTTCACGGGACCAAACCTAATAAATACTCAAGTTAATTAAAACATCCAACAAAATGTTGGAAAAAAAAAAGAAAGTAAAACCCGAATTGCGAAATACAGGTAATTTCAGAGATCTCTCCCCCAACCCCAACCCCAAACCAAATCCTTAGACATCTTTATTTGTACATAAGAAACATATATAAATATTTGTTATAATTTATAATCATCTATCCTAGCCACTCAACATTTGGGTAATCTCCACTTCATGCACGATGTACTGCTAAAGGGGGATCTACTAAATTTGAACTTTACAATACTGAAATTAGATGTCAAAAAACAATTAAATAGTGAATAAAATTAAAGGCATAGTCTCTACTTACAGCTCATAAGTGTTGTTGTTGTCCATAATCCGAGGGTAGCTGCCCATAGGAAGTATTTTTATTCGATATCTAGAAGGTAATGAATTAAGGCCATTTCAACACAATATAACTAAGAAATTATTTACAACAACTTAAAATGACAAATTCTTCTGTCTTGTAAAAAGGATACTGAAATCTTGGACGGAAATATTGACACATGGTATGGAGGAGAAGGCAGGCTTGGCCCCAGGCAGCATTTATCTCATCCCACTCAACCTAATTGTATTCACAGCATGGTAAACATCAATATCAGACCCTATTTTCTGTCCCTCAAGGGTAGAAGGAAAGATTCAATTTATTGGTGCTAAGACAATTCTCAAAGGAGAAGGAAAATGCATTCTTAGTTTTCTGACCGGCATTTTTGGAAGTCGTCCAAGTCGAAAATTGTTGATGGTACCAAATTCTCCATCATGCCAGATAGGAAAGGCATCATTGAGCACATTAGTTCGTTTCAACAACTCCAAGTGCGCCTGTGAAACTTCTATCTTGGACAAAATTGCATCTCTCTCTTCCTGTTAACCAAAAAGATTTTTCTTGGACTCAAAGTACTAACAGGACATAAAAGGAATACTAAAAAAGGATGGGAAAGATTTTTCTCAGACTCAAAGACAATGTACGCAACTCTTTTTTGATGAGGACAACAAAAAAACTAATTGCTGACAAACAGATATAGAATTACCAGAAGCCACATTGTGAAGACAACCATTAGATAATAATAATTCAATGCCAAAGAAACTTTTGAAACCACTTTAGACTACACCAAACAACTACCAGAATATCAACATAAATTCAGAACATATAGGACAAATGTACTGCCTAGAAGATTGTAATGCAACTGCTAGAGAAGCAGAAGAAGAGAAGAAGATCAGCAACACACCTGATTCGAAATTAATTGAAACTGAAAATTATTGAACTCATGCCAGTACCTGTTACATGTTAAGCAAAATAAACAATCAGGATTTCCCAGGTTTACGTCAAAGGGTGAGTACACAAGATGAAATCTGATACATAGTGAAGAACACTTGATATTTTATCAGGAAGTAAACCAACAAAAATCAACAAACAACATTAGGAAAAGGAACATACCGCTCCTCCAATTCCTTAAATCTGCAAGATTTTAACTCAAGTTCCTTCAGCTCATTATTTACTTCCGCGTTCTGTTTCTCCATTTCTTCAATTGCTGCTTCAAGTTTTCTCTCTTCTTCCTCAATCTTCAATAGCATCCAGAGAGGAAGAGTGAGCATTTAGACCTCACTTTGAAAAACTATGATACTAAATATGCTGATATAAAATAAAACGCATTTTTGAAGGTTTCTTAGGATGAGAGCTCAGATGCATTTGATATTAATTAGGACAAACGCATCCATGCTGGTCATGCAATCTCTAAATTCACCATTCCCCTGAATAAAGGCATATTTGCTATAATAATAAATAATAAAATAACTTATTTCACTCTCCAAATATAGATCACACAGTGATTTATGCATGGACAACATTTTAAGTAAGCACCTTTAGTTTTTCCTTTAGAAAATCAGCCTCACTAAGAACATCCCTTGTCTCTCCCTCCAAGCGTTTAAGACAGGCTTCATAGGCTTTAATGTCCCTATTCACATCTTCAACCTCCTTGTCAAGTTTATCAGACACTACCCTCATGCATTCAAGACATAAAGGTTGCTCGACCTGGAAATGTTAGCAGAAACATAGAGATTATAACTTCTTTTTTTTAAAACAATTTCTGGCACCAACATAGTAGACGCTATCAAAAGGAAACTGTAAAATTCCATTTAAGTTCTTTTGCACTATTATACATACTTGTGTTTGGGTGGTGGCAATTTCAAATGCCCGTTTCAGGAGAGTTATAGTAGAGTGAAACCCAGAATTGTTAGGCTGCAAAGGACCATTGGGTCCTCCATCAGGTGACGGCAACTGGGCCCCACCACCATCTGCTGATGACTCAGATTTATAAACAACCACAAAGGACTCATCCATTGCCTTTCCAGACTGGCTTGTTTGGGCGGCTCCAACACGAGGACGAGGAGGGACTCCTTGTGCCTGGGGTCTTTGCTTTGGTAACACAACAAAAGAATTGTCCATCCGTGTTGATAACACACTGTTTGCCCCATGCATTGAAGAGCCCTGCATGCCTGCATATATTCATCACCAAACCGCTTACTGATTAAGAAAGCAATCCTTTCTCCGCACATCACTGCACTTGGCCATCAACAAAACCCTTAACCCCCCATAAAATTACAAACTCAAATTTCCACTGAAAATAGCCAACACAAGAAATCTTATATTTGGTAAGCATCATACGATTCTGGTCAAATAATCCACTCATTTGGATTCAAAAGTCCAACACAGCTCCCATTCTAGTAATGGTTCCACAAACGAAGAGTTTCATACTTAATGAATTGCATGTTCACAAGGGTCAGCTAGCTATAAGACCCATTTCTAGCTTAAACACTTTGATCAAGAAATTAAGAAAACATAACGCCAAAAGCAGCAAACTTAAGGTGTTTTAGCCGCAATAAAAGTTCAAAAGAGCAACAATTTAACTCACTAAATCAAAACCGAAGCCATTTTCTCGATAACGAAATTAGTTTAATACTTTCCAGGGTCAAATCATTTCAATTCAAAATTTGCCCTCAATGAAAATCATTTACAGTCTCACCCATTGAAACTCCAATTGAAACCTCCCACAAACTTCCAGAAACCAAATGGGATTCAATAATTCGATGCCCAGAACTCAAATTTGCGCGCATAAATGCACTCATAAATGGTAAATACAAATAAGAAAGGGATTAAAAGAAAAAACTAACCGGAGCGAGAGAAATCGTTGAAGAACTTTTCGGCATAGGAATCGGCGCCGACGATGCAGAGAGAGTTGCGGCAGTTCTGGCAGACATATCTGGGCAAATTCGGATCCACCTGAAAGCCCCGACCCCTTTCTCCCATTGAAGTAATTGTGAATGGTTTTTGTCGGGTCTGTTTTGCTGTAAGTGGGAGGCTCTAGGAATCGTATCAGAGGAGACAAAGTTTTCTCTCCTTTTCTTATTTTCTCTTTGTTTCTTGGCTGAAGCTCACCAAGGAAATCACAACAGTCCTGCTCCGGTTTGTTTGTTTGTGAAAATTGAATCTATTTATCTCTTTTTTTGGTAGGAAAAATGTTAACTACAAAATAACTCATTTAAATATATATATTTTTAATTTCACAAAAGACTAATTTAACTAATTTCATTACAAATTATTTTTCTTATACCAAAAGTGATAGTTTACTATTATAAGACCCGAGCCAAAGGAATTAGGCGAGTTTCCCTACATAAGGGTCAAGTCGTCGAATTAGCCCAATAGGTGATCCTCACTTCATTAAAAACCATTAGAAAGAACCTCAAACCCTTTCTAATGCTTCATTCCCTTTCAAACCTACAAGTATTAAGGATTACAATTCTCATGCAATTTATTGCTAATTATGAGGTTTTTCAAACTAAGACCTCAATGTCAAAGTTAAAATGGAATGAGATTTCTCTCACACACACACACACACTAAGATGTTCTTGGGGTTCGAATATGAAACCTCTTATCTGCAAGTCAAGACCATTTTCTACTAAACTAGACTCGTTGACAGTTATTTAGTTTTAATCACTTTTGACATGTATTTTATATTTTCTTAAATTTTTTTATAAAAAAAATCTTATTAAAAAAGGAAATAAATACCCGACCCGGAATCTGATCCCAGATTGGATAAAATAGAAACCCAAACCATACAAAATCCGATCCCCAAACCCAACTTTATTTCCTTCTCTCCTTCTTCGACTCGATTGCCAACAATCTTGGTCCTTCGAAACCCTAAAAACCCCTTGAATTGTCAACAATGGAGGACACCAAATCCAAGACATACAACCTCTTTGTGACCCTTTTGGAGGGCAAAACCCTCACCCTAAAATTCACAGCCCCAGATGTCTCCGCCGCTTCCATCAAGAACCGCCTTCTCGAAATCACCAAAATACCCCTCCACCACCAGCGTCTGGTTACCGGGACTCGCCAGCTCAAGGATGATTCCGTAATTTCGTGCTCCTCAGACGTGCCGTACTTCCCAACGGTCCATCTTCTGCTTCGGCTCGTCGGCGGGAAAGGTGGTTTTGGGTCGCTGCTGCGTGGGGCGGCGACGAAGGCCGGGCAGAAGAAAACGAGCAATTTTGATGCGTGTCGTGATATGAGCGGTCGGAGGCTGCGCCACGTCAATGCGGAGAAGAAGCTTGAGGAGTGGAGGGCTGAGGAAGAGGAGAGGAGGCTTGAGAAGAATGCAGAGGACTTTCTGAAGAATCTGGCGAAGAAGGGCAAAAAGGGAACTGGAGACGCCGAGGCTGAAAAATATGTGGCCAAGTATAGAGCTGAGTCGGAGCGCTGCGTCTCCGAGGTTTTGGATTCGGTTAAGGAGGCTGTGAGTGGGAAGCGTAAAGGGCCGGCCAGGAAGGCGGTGGCACAGTCGAAAAGGATGAAAATTTGGTAAGGAATTTGATTGATTTTAATGGGTTCTGTTTCTCTTATGTTAGTTATGTTGATTGTGTGCTAGGAGATTTTTGGAAGTTGTGAAATTGAAGGAAGATTCTATCCTTTTACTCAACATGGCTGATGATTTTCATGATATGTATTGTTTATAGGAAGCTTAGAAAATAAAAGGAAGTAATGGAATGGGTAAATGAAGGCGGTTTGTGTAAATTGGTCTTTGTAATGATTTGGACTTATGTTAGTTATAGGTATAGAGGTTAAATTATATGTTAATTAAAGTTCAGAATTCTAGAACTGCTTGGCTAGATTCTGTGTTGCTGAATATTTGGCTGATAAAGCCAAGTTCTTTACTCTATCAGTTTCCTGTTGCTTTATGAAGGTCAGGAATATAAAGTTATGAAGGTCAGATATGATAGTTCATACTCGGTTTGGTTAAGCCAGAAGGTCTCAGTAAGTTTAGAGTAGCCTAAGTTTTGGAATAATCTCTACTGTTGGCAGAGCTTTGTTTCAGCAATACTGCATTTTCGTTCAGAAATTTTTTGCTATCAAAGCTGTCTCTCTCTTGTATTAAAATATAATATTATTGGTATTCACATCTGAGTTTGTTGTTTTTTTCAGGATGGGCAAGAGAAAAATGGGTGAAAGTGACAATGATACAGAGGATGATGACAGTGATAATGAAGATAAAAAGGAGAAATCCGTTGTATTAAATAGTGGGAATAACTCAGATTCAAGTAAGGATGCTGAGGGAAGTTTGGATTCTGTGACTGGTAGGAAACAGGACGGTGAGATCTCAGGTGGAGGGTCGGGTGAGAGTGGCTCTGAGGAAGAGAAAGAGATTGTTGTGCAGGGAACACAGGGTCAAGAATCTCTTCACAGTGAGAAGAATGATGTGGTTGAATCAGTAATTCATGAAGAGAAGATAGTTAGGAGTGCAAGTACCCCTTATTCAGAGCCTGATGCGGTTTTGAAACCTGAAGCAGTGCAAGAGGAAAAGATGGATTGCAATGGACCGGATATGGGAAATCTAGATGTAGTCGATCAGTCCCAGAAGGTTTCTAGTTCAGGTGATGTGAAAGGAAATGAAACTACATCAATTGTTTCTGAAGCCAATGGTTCTTCGGAATCCAATCCACGAGTTCAGGAAGAAACAGTTGCAAGTGGAGACACTGCAGAGATAGAGAAGCCACTGAATTTTGATGAGTTCAATTCAGCAGCAGAAATGGAGGTATGCTTTTGAGAAGTTTATTTTGTCATATTTATAATCTTTCTGGCAATATACTATGCAGCCATTGTTGCTTATTAGGGTGATGTAGGTTTTTTGCATGCTTCGTTTAAATCTATTAAGGCACTGTTTCAGACCCAAAAAAAAATATTAAGGCACTGCCGTTTCAAGAAGCTGAATTTTTGTTTAATATGTACAAGATAACTCTACCTTGTGGTCATGAATCATCATGTCCACTTCCAAGAAAAATTAAAGCCGATGCTAGTTTATACATACCTACCTGATTGCTTTTTTCATCACAGCTCTCACCATCATCTCTCCTACCATGCTCATTTTAGTTAGGGATGTTTTGACATCAAATCATTAGTGAGCATTAACATGATTTTTCCACCTTATTATGGTAGGTTCTCGGCCTGGAAAGGTTAAAGTCTGAACTGCAAGCTCGTGGGTTAAAATGCGGTGGTACTATGCAAGAGCGCGCTGCTAGGCTTTTTATGCTAAAATCTACCCCGATCGAGAAGATTCCAAAGAAGCTGCTTGCAAAGAAATGAGAATATAATGTACTTCATCTTTTTACTTTGTAGAGGAAAGCCTCTCCTTTAATGAATGAACAGGGGGAGTTCAGTGTATATTAATATTTCAATCTCTGCCCAGTTGTTGACTTAGTTATGTACTTGTATGTATACCTTTGATGGATAATGTCTGATCCTTTGACTGATGCAATTTTCATGTTCTTGTTTTTTCAACTTCACTATGTAGAAGCTGCCGTGTGCATTATCTGTGGTTTAGATTTGCTCTTCTTTTTTACGAGCCTGAGTTTTCAACCCCAAAAGTTACACATTCTATTGAGGAAAATATCTACACACAAAAATTGGGTATGGGTAAAGTCCCACAAAATCTTAACCACTATGTACGGTAACGAGTGAGTAAAAGTTCACAAAATACAGAAGTTTAAAAAAAATATATATAAAAAATCAGACATTGTTCGAGTTTGAGTCGGCATGTGCCGGGGATGGATTGTTTCGGCAAACTGGGCATGTGCTGTTCAACCGAAGCCACTCATCAACACAATCAGCGTGGAAGCAGTGTTTACATTCCGGGATGCATCTCACCGTCTCCTTGGTCAGATACTCCGACAAGCATATAGCGCACGTGGTGTCGTTGGGCCCCGGTAGCCGGCGGCTCTCACCAAGAACTAGCATCTGATATGACTCAATGGTGGTCTGGTCCAGACCCATGGTTACAATGGTGGGTTCTTGCGGTTGTGGTTCGGCGGCAACTGCGGTGGCGCTTCGTTGTGCAGAGCCACCAGGAACCCTGTCCTTGATGCAAGCAAAGCAGGCTATCCCAACTGCGCAGGTGAGGGCTGGTACCGTGATGGACATGCAAATGATCCTGAAAACTTGGAAGCCATTGTTTGATCCGCCTGGAATTTGAAGCCATTATTTAGTGCTGGAAAACAAGCTCTTGCTCTGCAGATTTAGAATTGCATTCCACTTAGTGGCCACCCAATGCATTTTCTTCTTGTTATTATTATCATCTTTTTATTCAAACAATTATTATTAATTTATTTTCTTATCCCTTAAAAATTTTATTTTTAAAAAATAAAGTGAAAAAGATTAGGAAAGAAGTAGTTATTGGGTTTTGACTTTTGGCCCCTGCCCTGCCCCTGTAACATATGAAGTGGAACTTTTCAAATCAATAAAGAAAGCTTTAACGTGTGCCATAGTATAAGGGAAAATCAAGTTATGAAGTTTTCTATTCATCCTTTTAGTTGGTTTTTTATTTATTCCTGATACATAGTTGACATCGCTTTAATTAGTAATATTGGCATAATTATGCATATAATTTTTTTAAATTTTCACATGGTTAATTCCAATTCTACGAACGAACACACTTCAATTAGGCAATTAATCTGTGAATTAGGACACTGAAAATAATGAAGATTAAAGAACCTGCTGTTGAATTGTAGTCGCAGACAAGTTCTTGGCTGGTGTTGCTTAAGAGTCCGCAAATCCCACCTTGGATCTCACAGGCACTGCAAGCGGGTTCATACCAAGTCAAAAAAAGATCCGAATCAAGGTTGGTCGAGAAACCGTCCTCCGTCTGGACCTGCCTGGTAACCGGAACTGCCAATGTGGCAAGAATCCGACACGTGGTGGACATGGATTTTGCAAGGGTGGTGGAAGGGGTGGCCAAAACTGAGGTGGTGGAGTTGCTGAGGCAGTCAATGGGGGTGAACCTTGACTTGGTGAAGGAAGCCGGGCAGCTGAGGAAGGTGTAGTTTTGATACACAGCAGCAACAAAAGGAGAGCCTGCAAGGCTGAGACTTAGAAGCTTTTGAGGGAGGCAATTGTTGGGGTCGTAGAGCTGAATCTCTTGAGTGGCATAGCTGATTGCTCTGACGAAAAACTCTCCGGAAAGTGGAAGTTTTATGACTGTTAGGCCCTGGCTGTTACAGGTTAGGTTGAAGCCCGGGTAGCCGCAGTTTTCGGGTTGCTGGGCTTGTAACCGGAACGGGAAGCGGATGGGGAAGCCGGTGTAGCCACAGACGGAGACCGGGCAGTCGTCTCGGGCGTAGACGTGGGGGAAGAGGAAGAGGAGGGCGAAGAAGATGTCTAAGATGTCCATAATACCAAAAGGTCTAAAACCAGGATGAGAAGGTGGAATTTGTAGGAGAGATTCATTAAAAAATTCAACAAATTCTAAAGTCAAAAGTTTATGAAGTAATGGTAGCTATAGCCCACATAAGAAGAAGTCGTCATCACTCACCACGATCGTTGCTTTTGTACGATTTTACCAATTAGAATATGTCTGTGTGCCAAAGGTCAGCAGTGAGCGCAGATCACATGTAAATCCTATTTAACCACATTTTTTTCTAGTTTTAAATCCAAAGTCGGAGATTAAATTCACAGATTTGGTAAGCTAAAAGAAACCATTAAAGATTAATACGCAACTAACATCCACTTGCCAAGGAGTGCACGTAAGATCAACTAAAATTAAAATTTATATTTGTAGCACAGCACGTGTATTTATCAATTCTACAGGGAAGATCAAACTATCTCAAAGCTTTTATGTTTTCCCTTTTAATGGGAGTAAACAGGAAATTAAGCTACTAATTATTAGTTTAATGAACCCCAATATGGGTTTGTTTTCTGTCTTCTTTATTATTATTATTTTTTTAATGGGTATCAGTTTATCAGAAGGGAATGTTTTCACTTTTGGCTAAGACCAGTGGGATTGGGACTTTACAGGAGCTGCTGAGAGATTCTAATAGATACAACTTCACCTCCAGCTCCAGCTCTCATCACTTGGTATTTGACTTGAAGTCCTGGTGTCAAGAAATTCAACGAAAATACGAACATTAGACATAAATTTGTCGATCAACAAATGGCTAAAGGCAATGCAATTTTTATGTTCATATATGTCAGCTTGGAAAAATCACAAGTTTTTTCTTTTTCTACCTTCATTTTTCTGTAAGTTGGTGTTGACTGCAACTGAATGTAGAGTAATGATAGCCTTTGGTTGCCAGTCGTTCGGTTTACCAACCCATGACTTGAGATTAAAGACTGCTGCCATTTCATTTGGAAATTTGACCACATTAACTTGTATGTTCAGCGAACAGAAGTAGAGGTAACATTAAGACTAATTAATGAGATTAACGTTGACTAATTTTGGGTTATTGGAGCAGTAGCAGGGCAAAGAGCATCTGAAGAAGTTACCAGATGTTGGAGAGTCATTGAGGTGTTTGAGATCGAAAATAGCCCCCGAAGCACCATCGACATGCTTTTTGACATCATGGGAACCGATAAGTTCGTATTCCCAGCTTCCATTCTGGTACCCCTCGCTCAAGAACAATTCTATATGCCTTGCATCCAGTGTCTGCATTGTTCCTGCGCATAACAAACATGAAATGAGAGACCCTGAAGCCCTTTGCCTCCAATCCCCCTGACTTTCCAAGGACTTTTAACAAATAGCTAATAATTTCATCTGTCAAAGTTCAAACACAAGTATTGAGAAGTGATGGGTTTTGTTCTGCCTTACCATCACATGTATTGAGCTCGCAGACGGGGCATCGAACAAGTTGGAGATCTAATCATTGAGTTGAAAATTGAAGTTAAATTGAAGTGTTCAAGAAAAACAAAAAATTTAATCTTCATTTGTCTGAAAGAAAATGGCAGGATGATTGAGTGCAGCTGAAGTTACCAGCTATCCATATCCCAGCTTTAACGTTATCCAGCACACAATAGCCGCAGGCCTCCAACATTTTCTGCATGGTATCTTCTTCTGGGAGTTTCGTTGGGTTTCTCAGCCTTTCTGTCAAGAGTGCTTCTGAAGATTCAACGGAAAATGCACCAATCCGCATCCAGTCTGATTAGTCCAAACAAATACGAAAAGAAACTCATTAGTCTTCTGTGGAAATTATTATACATATGGTGAGGTTTGTGATTATTGTTCATCCCAAGAGAATAAGGAGAAAGCATTTGTCTTATATTTTAAAGAAACAGGACACCTGTGACAGCCAATTAGTCCACACTCTCTAGCAATGCAATTAGACACATAAGAACATAGAAACCAGCTGAAAATTAGACATGCATAAATTTCCAAAGTCAGGAGAAACAAAATGTGTACTAGAAGAAAAGTTACTTACCATTATGACTTGCTAGAAGTTCTCATTGACTTTTGAAAAGAAAAAAATAGAAACCAATACAGTAAGGACTTTTGGTTGGCTAAAGTTCTCACTGACTTTCGACGGTCTTCAAAAGTCCTCATTGTCTTCACTACTTATTGTCTTCAATCCAGTTATGATACATAGCACACAATCATCTTTTAATATGAATCTTTTCGCCCACCCAAAAAAAAAAAAAAAAAAAAAAAAAAAATCATAAACGTCATGCAAATCTTACATGATATAGATTTCTTTGAGTATAATCATGTGTTATCTTATTATTAATTTTGACGTGACATAATGATAACATTTTCCTAATTGTGGTAAAATTGCGCACAAAAACCACCGAAACAGAGGTAAAATTGAGCACTCACCAATATGCTTCTCCTTCTGGCGGAACATGTAAGAATGGCTTCCATCTGCAAAACACCAAACCCAATTGGTTCATTAGCATTAGCAACCCCACTTGATCAGACGATTATAATTCGTTTTAAACCAGTCTAATCTAATATAATTGAGATCTGGAGGCTCGGATCCGTACCGAAGGCTGAAACGTAGAGCTTCCTCCAATTGAATGCCACGTGGAGAGGAGCAGGGACCTGAAGATCACGCAGGCACGCGTACTTCCATATGCTCCCTTCCATAATCAGACCGTGGAACCAACGACATGTCGTTGCGAGCATCACCAGTGACTTTCCGTCTAGATACTTGGCGATCTCGGTCCAAACGTCCTCTTCGTACCTTTTTAAATACAACAAAGGAAAATTAGTTACGGCCTGTGAAAATTCGAAAATTAGTTACGCTCTGTTTGGTTACTGTTGAAATGCTTCCCAAATTAAACAGAGAGAGGATTCTCAGGATTTCTCAGGTGAAAAATGTAGATTTCTCGTTTTCTATGTTTTTCTTGGCAACCAAACAAGTATCAAAACATCTAGAGTTTTCATTCTTAGAAATCGATCAATGTAGATTTATACGAGAACAGCTTCCTCTGCAACTAACAAACAGAAATATCATACCGTTCTCTGTAAACATATTTTTCTCTACGAAAACTCAAATCTGTGCTTGAAATTGAACTAACTGAATCATGAACTTTTCAAAATTTTGACCAAATTAGAAAGATCGAAGTCCATATCAAGTTCGAAGAACAACGCACATGCAAAGCATAATTCAGCTTCAAATTTCGAGCAAAATAGGGAAAAATTCAAATCACAGCTCCGATTTCAATCTAAATCCTTCATTTCTCAATCGAATGCATGTAGACGTAAAGATAGAAGCTCAAATACACAGAAACAACATTTGTACAGCAAAATAATTCAAATCAAATCACAAGTCATGACTTAGAATCTCATTCATGATTCATGAACTCAAACACATAGGCATAAAAACATTCAAACGCATTTCGAAATTCAAGTTCAAATTGACACAGAGAGAGAGAGAGAGAGAGAGAGAGAGAGAGAGAGAGAGAGAGAGAGAGAGAGAGAGAGAGAACCAGCAAAAGGCGGAGCCAGCGGAGTTGTCAGTGAAGCGAGGAGAGCTGCAAGAGCAAATCGTCTTGGTTCTTCTCATACGCTTTTGCATTTGCGGAGGTTGGGGCTGGGTGACGACGGCTCTCTTGCGCTTCGGCATTTTCTCAGTGTGTGTTTGGTTGTCCTGAGCCAAAACTAAAGCGATCGCTCTTCCAAAGCTCCAAGGCTTTGCTATTTATACGCGCGCCACCCTCAAATTCAAAAATATAACAAACTGAATTCAAAATATGGGCCTACATTATGGGCCGGTAGATCAATACTATTTTCTCTAAGCTGGACTTCCACGTGGCCCGTATCTTTCATGGTGCCTTTTTATTTTTTAGATTTATTAAATTTGAAAGCAATTTGAGGTTTTTTCTTTTGTGGTTAAAGATTTTCATTAATACTTGGATGGAGAGATAAATTCTTTGGGAATGAATAGAAACCACTATTTATTTGGAGTGGACATATTCGGCCATTAGTTTCACATGCAAGAGAGCAAAGGAAATATTTGAGGAGAATACAAACATACGAAGCTATTTGATTTAAACATGAAAAGAAAATGCTTGGATACCATTAGCCTCGGGGGCTAAGCTCAATTTAACTGAGTCTCGTTCATTTAAATAACGATTTGGAAAAAACTTGGCTCCTTAAAAGTTAAAACTGAGATTTGGAAGTAAATTTCCTTAAACATTCTCTTTTTTCTGTTGGAAGTAAATCAATTTTGCTGAAATTTGACAAATGTCAAAACCACATTGGAGGAGCTCCTCCGTGCCAAGCTTCCTTCTTTAAATAAATGGACAAATGGTAAACCAAGTACCCAAAAGGAAATGTCAATATTGTCAGGCAACAATTACAATTAGACATGAGAAGATTGTATAATAATCCGACAAACTTTTACACGAAAAAAATGCCGCAGCCAAATATTTGGGGTATTATATTGTAACTGAATGGTTACAACACGACTAGCAGTAAAGAAACTAGAAAGAATTACAAGCTCAGGGAAAAGAGAAAGAAAAGGTGAACTTATTGGTTAGGAGATGGGTCAGCGCTGTGCAGAGATGAATTGGGAGCAAAAAAACATGTATGAACTGTGAACTAATTCATAAATTTCCTACAGTTGGGAGCTTTACACAGGCAGGGGACTTTCAGCTCATCATGTTCATCCGGATCAAACAAGTAATCGTACCTGTTAAAAAGAACAGTAGGGAAACATTACTTTTGCGAACCAAATTGGGGTCAATCTAAACCGATGCAGCAAAATTTAAACCAAACCCAGAGAGAAGAAGACTTACGTTAGTTCTTCACCTACAGGCACGTTAGTCTTAGCAATGAGAACTATCCGGCTGTCTTCGTCACCCACGCTCATGATCCTTGCAAAGCAGTTGGGCATGCACTGCAGCACAGGCGGTTAAATTTAGCATCATGATATGCAAGATGTGCATGGATCCAGAACTCTGGAAAGTCATTTCTATTACACCACATTTTGCAAACAAGGGGAAATACAAGCCTTGACCAAATTTTACAACTTAGGCTGTGCTTGCATAGCACTTAGCAAATCCAACCAATCCAGACTTGTGATGGATAACTTGAATTACAGATTAAACCAAGTCACAAGCACCCAAAACCAAAAACCCCCAAGTGATTAGCTACACCTTCACTCAAAATGGAGAGAATAGGGAAAATTGGAACTCACCGAATGGTTAATTAAGCGTGCTATATTTCCCTTATTCGTAGCATCAATTACTACTTCGTCACTGATCTTGAAGAGCTGCCAAAAAAAATAGTTCAGACTTCAAAATCACATCTTAATGACAAATAAAATTTGATAGAAAGAGAGGCGACTGTGCGGTAGGTGCTTGAAGTTGAGTACGTAGGAGCACACAATTTCTACGGGTTCAAGTCAAAGTGATCCGGCACATAAACATAAACATCCCATATCTTTACTGTATGACCACCTTAAGGTGATGGATCAACCTTTCTTCTATATGACCACCATTTTTTTCTTTCTATCTTCATTTTTTTGCCAAGCTTTTCCTACTTTCTATAAGAGGAGAAATAAATTTGGAAACGAATGATTACATAAAACTGCACTTTCCAAATTAGAAAGTTACAACATTTTTTCCACATGGAACAGAGATGTTATGTATTCTTGAATTCCTCAACCTACAAAGAGTTGTTAGCTAACACATGCTTGTAACTGCCAAGACAATAACACCTGCATATGGAAACGAAAGAGTATCCTAAGAAAATTGACTCACATAGCAATCTTTGCCTTCCCTTCTGTATCGTGCTTCCCTCAGATCTGCAATGCTAGGCCTCACCTTCTCACCACGATACTCAACAACCTGCAAACAAACATATTTACCATAAAAGGATATCACGAAACAAACCTTTTGGTTGTTGAAAATCTACTCAAATAATAGACTCAAAGACAATTCCTTGAAGTTGTTCACAAAAAAGATTTCAAAAACTATTAAAAAATTCAAGCAAAAGCACATAGAAGTCTCAATTTCTGTCAGTAATGTAAACTTTAAGTGATTATCATATTAGAAATAAATCCATATGTGAGTACATAGGCAAAAACATGTTTATATTGGAAACTACAAGTTCATTAAGTACCATTTCTCCTTCTTGAAAATTCCTACGCGCAAATAGACCCCATCCATGTATTCCAGATTTCCCAAAACAAACCCGGTGATTTTCAGTTTTCTGAAATAGGAACAAGAAACAGTTATTGAATTTTGCACAGGAGATGTTATTGAGAACATCCAACTCTGTAAAGTTAGCAACTATAGCCATATGAGAAGTTTGACTTACCTGTAAATGGAAAAGCCGATCCTTGAATGAAGAAAAAATTTTAGAATCTTCTACTTCCTAATAAAAGGCAAGTTAATCTGTCACACCAATCCACCAAAGAAAAATATATATTGTCTATATGGAAAACAAGACTTTTAACATTAGAAGTCAATAAAAAGTCTAAATCAACAAGGACAAGAATATTACTTTAAATGTACTCAAGCTATTTATTGTGTCTAAGGAATGATGTGTTGGCCCCATTGGTCGGTGGAATATTGCTAGCTGCTCACCTCTCTGGCAGAAAATAACGAACATAAAACAATCAACAAATCAACTCAGAAACAATAAAGAAAAAAAAAATTGTTCACAACATTCATATAAAATAAGTTACGAGAAATTCAACAGGAAAACAAAAATCAAAAGATAATGAAAGGGATGCATAATATTCTAACACAATTGCCTTATAGTTTGATCTTTTAAAAGCACAGCATCTTGCAGCAGAGAGTGGTTCCAACTCGTTAGTCTCTGAGGTCAAAGGTTCTGGAAGCTCAGTCCTTTCTGATGGCACCACCCTTGCACCCCTGAAGTACCCCTTCTGATTTTGAAGCGAGTTTCTGGCAGCAAAAACCCCCGAAGGAGTATGCACAACTACAACAGCATCTGGATTTGGAGTCCTGCATTGGAAACAAGATATGAATCATCAGATGTGACGCACAATAAGTTGCAACCAAAAATGGATACCACCTCACTGGTAAGAGCAATAGAAAATACTACTCTGACTAAACATAAGATAAATACGCCACAGTTCTAACCTGTGAACTGCACAATATATCAACTTTCTAGTGATTTGTATCCCATTCTTCTCTAGACTGTGCAACTGAAAGTTCAAGATACAATATGATCAAAATTCCAACACTGTTCACACATTATTTCTAGCCATTAAAAGATAGGTGCAATCATACAAACTACTAGAGGAAAAGTCATCATTCTCTAGACACTTACTTCCATGCTGTAACCTGCTCTTGATGCACACATTGTATGAAAATGAGTAGCACATTTGCAACACTGGGTGCAGGAACCGTGAATCTGCTTACAAATTACACAACGCTGCACTCCAGAAGATAATGTAAATTAAATTACAGATTGCAAATTGTACCATCATGTAAAAACCAGACCATAAAAAAAGACATATAAATATCGCAAAACAAAAATTACACGCTATAAGTCCTTTCCCAACTTGAGGAGTAAACATGGAGATAACAAAAAACCATCCAAGAAAAATTACCCCTTGCAGTTAACAAGGAAAAGAAAACAGCAAGTGTCAGAAATTATACCCATTGCAAGATCATTTGAAACACAACTTTACCTTCAAAAAAGTAGTTGGTGGGATTTTGAGGATTCCAACAGCAGGTTCCATTTTCTCATGATTCAAGAAACCAACTTCACGGCGAAACCAAGCACAAGAGACATGAACCCACAAGGTGTCAACATCAGTAGGCTTCAAAGCACCTCCTGAACAAACCACTTTCAAGTCAATTGCAGCAAATATACAAGGGAAGCAGTCAACTTTACTGAATACATAAAGTAACATCATCGTGTAAGTTTCATGCTTAATATGAATCATAAGCTTTTTTCATAAGATACGAAAACTCAGTGTACACCATTAAGATTATTCAAAAATATACATGACTATTCATGATATGGAAGAAGGAAAGAGAATATTCACATAAGCTTCCAAATTGAGGATGAAGGAAATATAGATGATAAGCATTAGTTAACAATGAGTCATCATTCACATGAAAATAATAGTCAAATGAGAACAAAAATAAACGTTTGGAATAGAAAAAAAAATTGGTGAGAACTCAAATAAAGATATTTTATGTACACCATTAAATATTAAATCAACAATCAAAAAAATAGTCATCACTAAAAACACCAAAAATGTACACAACAAACAAAAATCAAGACAAAATAACTAAGAAGTACTCACGACACTAGATATAGGCAACATACCTCTTACAGGACAAAGACAACATTCTCTAATGACATCAGGTGTTTCACATGCTCTACAAACCCACGATGTAAAATCCTGCACATCTTTTGCACCATAGCATTCTTGGTGCACAGCTATCTGACACCTGGACATAGCAACAAAAATTATATATAAAACTTTTGAATCTAATAGCTGTTTTATTATTAAAAAAAAGGTCCAATCTTGCACCAGAAAGAAGACTAAATCAATTATCTAAATATACAAAATTGGCACCCAGATATAACAAATGGTGGAGACAGACACCTGTTGCATATAATAATTTTGTTATC